TATGACGCTTTCGACAACCCAGTAAGCTAGGCTGTATTGTTTTTCATCTGGCTTTTAGGAAACTAAGGCTTAGAGAGCTTAAGTGACTTACTCAAGACCACCAGCTAAAGAGTGGCCAAGCCAGAATATTACCCTGAGTTTATCCAGTTGCTATTCCTGTATCATTTCCAAACTGACTCTCCATAAATAGTAAATCAAAGATAGGGCAAATCTAGGGGGAAAAAGAGAAGCTACAGTGATAACTGGAAGCAGACGTGAGGATTTTTGTGTGGAAATAGCTGCATGTGGACAAGGGAGATGAAATCTTTTAACAATCGTTCTTCATTGGGACAAAGCTAAGTGGGCAAAACTCCATTGTCGTCATTGAAGCGTACATCCATAGGCACGCCAAAGGAAGAAAAATGCTAGGCTGGAACTGCAGTGCTCTTTTGATACTCCCCACCCTGCCTCATAATTAACGTTGTCTTCTAATGGAGGAGGGCATCTTTTTCCATTTTTTGAGCTTGTGGCTGTTGTGTCATCCTGGATATGCCAGCTACTATAGCTGCTGTCGGTGGGGAGATACCATGGATTCCTTCACAGTTGCTCCAGGAATATCTTAGAAGATTGTGCTAAAAACAGTTACTGTCAGATGGCTCAAGAGGAGGTACTTCTAATGGTTCTGCTGCTGATAAGGCCCTAAGAGGAAGATTTCAGGATTCAGTAGAATGATGTTGTTTTACTAGCCCTTGCTATGTTACGGTCCTCCTAAGATCCCAGTCCAATGGTCCTAAAGAGACCTTCCTACCACTGACATGTAGCACAGTCCAGTCACTTGATAGAAGAGGCAGGTGACCCAGAGAAAAGAGGTTACTGCAGTGATTCCCGCATTTAACTGCACATTAGAATCACCTGGAAAGCTTTTACAATCTCAATGCCCAAGTGATATCCCGTAAGAATTAAATCACAATGTCTAGGATGAGGGCCAGCACCACCATTTTTTAAAGACCTCACACTGATTCCAGTGTGCCGCAGTTTACAGTTAATGGGCTAATAATGATTTGTCTAAGATCATACAACTGGGGGCAGGAACCAACCATGGTTCAACTCCTTTCTTTTCAGCCAAAACCAACCCTTGTCTTAGGATATTTTGAGAAAGAAAGGATGAACAGACATAGTAGAGCAACTGCCATGATGATATGCCAGGTAATTTCTATTTATTAATTTATCTTTTGCAACTACTCTTCAAGCTGGACACATTAGCCCTAGTTCAGCATGAAGAACGTGAGTGTATTTTCATTTGGCCTGTGAGTCCTCACCAACTGTGGAGGCAGGACTTCAGAGATTGCCTCAGTAGGGACTCCAGTGGTGCTCACTGTAGTTGTCGAACATGCAGTGACACTCATTCAACAAATGTTTACGGAGGGTCTACTGTGTGCCGGGCGTTGTCCTAGGGGCTATGAGGATAAAATGGTGAACAAGGTATAAGGCTCTGCTTTCCCAGAGCTTTTTAGCTGATGAAGGACCCACAGACGTAACTCAGCAGTTCCAAAATTTTAGGGTTAACATTGTGATGAGAACTTGTTTTATTCATTTTCACTGGGTCTTGTTTCTCAAGAGGATTTGTGGCAGCAAAGGCACATAATGAAGTTGTTAGAGTATAAATAAGAAACAGAAATGAAGACTAGGGAATACATAAATAAGAGTAGAGAGTCAAGAACAGAAGAAGAAAAATTTATAGTTATGCAAGTCATAAGGATCCACTTGGGCTGAACCTCAAATTTGGCATTAAGTATCCTGGCAGCCATATTGAAAAGGGAAATATGGTTAGTTACAAAGTTCGTATTGTCAGAAAGAAAAAGCATACCAGTTCCTCAGGGAAGGAAAGGCTTTCCTAATACTTGGCTCTTGAGGAAATGTCTCATGTGGAGCGTCATGCAGTCTCTAACAATATTCCTATAGTGACTACAAAAGTGGATTTTATAAGACCATGACTTGTAGCACCCTGCAATAAAAGTGAGAATATAAAACTAAAATGCAATTTAATAAATCCATTTCTGTCAGGAGTAGGTGATCAGAAGTAAGTTGATTTGGGCCAGATATAGTCCAGATGAATCTATGGCTAGACACTGCTGGGATACCTGGGGAATGGAGGAATTGTATATCCTTTTAACAGTCTTCATAAACATAGTTTCTCTCTACCGAGATTTTGATAAGGCAGATGGTTATTTTCTCTATTTTCTGGTGTAGTGCTGAAGGATAAGTATTCTAGGTTGTAGGTAATGTAATGGTTTATACCAGGGGTCAGCAAACATTTTCTGTAAAGGGCTAGATATTAAATATTTTAGGTCCGTGGCATAGATGATCTCTGTCACAACCATTCATCTCTGCCACTGTAGCACAAAAGCAGCCATGGACAATATATAAGTGAGTGGACATGGCTATGTCCCAGAAAGACTTGATTTATAAAAACAGGTGGCAGGTCAGATTTCGCCTACAGACTGTATATTGCCAATCCCTGGTATATCCTAAAAAATAAAAACAAAGTATATTATTGGTATTCTATTGTCGAAATTCAGGAATGATTAGAAACTTGGCAAGTCTTAGTCAGTGGTAATGCTGGCCTCATGGTTTAATTGATAGTAGGTGACGACACGTGATGGAAAGAACATGGCTCATGTTTGAGTTGCAAATTCATTAAGTTCATTTTGGGATGCAGATCCCAAAGCAATCCAAGACAACTATTCACACATCAGAGTGGCACTCAACAGACGTGGACCTGGGAATGTTGCAGCACAGAACGAGGCTGGCTCTAAAATGACCTTTCATTCCACGTGGAGAAGCAGAATTGTGGTGCTCCTCACCTGGAAAAGCAACACAGATTCTCAGTGAGGATCTCATGGTTCGCTTCCTAGGAAAGAGAGACGATGTTGGGCCATAGCCAGGAGGCTGATGCGTGCTATTCACATCTTTATCATCTTTTCAAGTGCAAAATTTATTCCAGGCTACCAGATGTAGATTCTAACAATTTTCTATGAGTGTAGCATGTAGTAAGCCAGAGCTATTTTAGCTACCCTCAGGAAAAAAAATAACATAATTTCATTGTAAAAAGGCTTAGTTATGAGCAGATAACACATGTCAACAGTTTGTTATGACCTGATTAGTAGATACCTCCCACCGGCCATCAACTAATCTGGGAGGTTAATTGTGTAATGGGAGTTACTTTAAAGGGTTCAGTCTGGGAGATTGTCAGAAGAGTTGGCTCCAGGTGACTTGGAATCTGCAATGACAGGTGGGTTAGGACCTCAGCCTTGGATGCTGCTTTAGCCAGTTTGTGGATAATCCATAGTCCTGAGCAAAAGTTACTCATGTGACCCACGCACATTAACGATGGGAATGTAGGCTTAAACATAGGTAAGAGCTTCGAAAGAGTTTGTAAAAGCATGCTGGGGAACACAACTGTGAAACCTTTGGGGCTTTATTGTTAGTTTGAATGTAATTTGGTATACAGTGCTTTCTGGATAGCAGGTAATTTGTTCATTTGCTCCATTTGGAATTCTGTAACTATTCACCTCTTCAAGAGTATCAGGTGGTTAAGAAAATGGTTTCTGTTCATTGTAATAAACTACTCCAGGCAAGTACGGTGATTTTATCTTCATATACCCAGGATTTAGCCCAGTACCTAAGCCATAAGGACCACTCTAAAATGTTTGCCCAGTGAATGAATCCTGAATGATATCATCCTGTTTGCACAGCCAGTATTGTAGAGTGAGAGGTTGCCAGTAAGAAAGATGGCTCCCTTTCATTACACAAATTGTGGCACACTTTGAACCACTCCAGAAAGAAACTAAAGCTTTTAGTTTGGGAATAGGAACAAGTTATGCCTATAAAACTTTAAAAGCAGAAAGCCACTCAGATGGAATTACAGTGCCTCCAGCAGATGTCACCAGATGGGGGTGGGGGTAAAGAATTGGCAATCAGATGTATGTAGCAGGCGTGTGTGTGTATATGTATATGTATACACACACATACACACCCCTATACATTATATATATGTGTATATATATATATATATACACACATATACATGTAATGGCTTATTCTTGACAAGCAAGGTTTGGGGGAAGAGCAGCTTCAAGGATAAATTGCTTAGGGAAAATGTCTGATATGGATGTCGCCTGAATCATCTACTTTTTCAGAAATAACAAATTCACCAAGCATATTATTTTGTTCCCTCCTCTTCCTTCCCCTGGCCCCTGCCAATATGCTTATTTACAACAATTGCTTTATCAGTTGTCTTAGGAGAACAAATTTCCTTCAACAGAAGTCACAGTATGATCTTATGGTCGTAACTTAAAAATATCCCTGCTTCTACTGAGAAGAGACGCATAGAGAGTGGGGATGTTCCGAGCCAAAACCCAATCAGTACGAGGCAGCACTCGTAGGTATGGAGAGAGCCAAGAGGATGGCAATGTGCCCAGCAACCCTCAGAACCCCGCTGAGGGTCCAGCCCTGAGAGCACTTCGTTGTAGGGTTCCACTGTGAACAGAGGACCCTGCAAAGTCTAGCATCATGTGATGGTGTGGCTAACCTTAACATGGGTAATTTGTCTGACTGTAATTGATGAACTGTCTACCCTGATTGCATCCAGCAGATTTACAAGGGACCAACTTTGGCCCCAGGGATATTTATTAAATATCCTTTCATCCTTGTTACCCAACTTCTTTCTGATTTCCTCACCACTAGACCAGGAGAACTTGAGCATCTGTTCATAGTTTTGTTCCTAACTCTTCCCCCAGCGTTAACTACAAAGCATTGGGAATAGAATAAGAGACAAATGGCCAGCCACAGTTGGTTCATGCACTGCCCTACCTAGGTGATTGTCCAGAGCCAATTATCAATTGTCATGACTCTGACTGTGTTTAGGTCATAGAAACGTGCTGGTTTCTAAGTAGGTATTAATTATTCTTACCTGAGTGTTCGTTTGTTTGCTGATCCGTTCTGCATGTTCTTGGTCTCAGGGCCTGAGGATAATCTTCTCGGATGCGTCACGTCTTGTCTTCCGGCTTAGCTCCTCCAGTGGCGTGCGGGCCACCATCAGACTGTACGCAGAGAGCTATGAAAAGGATCCCAGCGGCCACGACCAGGAGCCACAGGTACAAAAACAGAACTGTTGTGTGTCTCATGGCTCCTGGCAAATTTAGAGAGTGTCCCTGTGCCTTTAGCGGGGGTGGTTTTACTTTCTGGAAAGGCGTGTTGATAGTTTCAGCTAAAGGACAAGCTTAGTGTAACTCCAAGCAAGTTTAACTCATGCAGTACAGTGTTTCAAACAGAAAAATTGCTCTCTAGCATCTATAAGAAGTTTATACCAGCATTTCTCAAACAACTTGCCTGTCTTGACTGTCCAGAAGTTTGTTAATTAGGGTGAAATTAAGCAAAGGTACCTTGATAAGGTAAGGAAATTGTGAGTTAGAGTCAAACTGGTTAAACCACTGACAGCCTTGATTATGCTTATGTAAAATTTGAATCTCCAAGTTTTTGGATAACTCTGGGTTGGACCATGACCTTGAGGTGCCAATACAGATGTCACGCTGGGTGTCCTTTCTCAGATGGCTGCAGAGTCCACCCTGATAGGAGGGGCTATGGCTGACCTTTAAAGTTAAGGGAAGACGTCCATGAGGCTAGGCCAGCCTGTGTTTGGCAAAGCCCCTCATGTTTTCAACAATAGAGCTAATTAAGAACTCGGGAAAATCATAAATAGACGACCATAAGCCTCCCCACTCCCATATTCATTAAAGCTCCAGGCAACAGTAATTAATACCAGAAAGGCCCCACTCTAGTGTTGGGTACTTGGAGCTGCACTGCCGGCTGCTTCTGTCTTCTTGATCTTTATTTCATCTGGGCTTTGAAGCAGAGAGTCCTTGATTTTTTGAGATGAAAACATTGGTTCCACCTACAACACTTCTTTTGCGGAAAAGCAGAGAAACAGAGATATACTCACTGCTACTCATTTTTGAGTTGCTCACAATTTCCATCTATAATTTGCCCTGATGGAATAAGAAATCAGGGAGGGTTTTCTTTTTTTGTCAGTAGTGCAGTATTGTTTTCGTGAGATCTTTCTTTGGAGAGCCTCAAAGAACTTGGTGATAATGGTGCCATATATCCTTACAGCTGACCCTGTAACCAGAAGATCTGTCTGGGGTAAAATCATGCCAGAAGGGGAAGTAGAGGCCTGGGAGGCTGAGAGCTGTTCTCAGGGTCACCAGGAGGGTGAGTGGGCAGAGCACGTGGCCAGCAGAAAGCCCTTGGCTCTTCTCTCAGGATCGCAGCCTTTCCATGCAGGGGATGGGCCACGCGCTGCCAAAATAATTTGTTAGTGAGTACATTTCGCCCAAGATAGTACCAAATCATGCAAGAATGGGAGGCTTACCCTCTCTTTCCGAATAAAACCCTCTTCTACATCTCATGTTGGGAAGGGAGATTAAAGCAGGGGCCTGAAAGTCCAGAGCTACGTACAGGGCGAGGAATGATATTCCTGGCCTCACCGACTCTGACTCACTCTGACTCTAGGCTATTTTTTCTCAACATTCTTTTCCCTAATTTGCACAGGCTAAGTGGTTATGGTTTTTCCTTGTTTTTATTTACCTTCCACATTGGACTTAGTCCAGGCCATTAGACAAGTAGGAAAACAATCCTATACACACATGAGCCTGTCTCCTAGGTGGTCCACAAAAGCCAAGTGGTACTTTTTCTAAAGACTTCTTTGGAAGCCAAAAATCTCCATATGCCTGCTCTTAGAAGACTGTGTGGGTAAAGAAAAAATAAATACTATTTGTTCTGGACCCCATGGCTGCACGTTTTCCATTCTGTTGGTTTAAAGAGTTTACCAGGGTGAATGGTTGGGGAATCCCTTCACTGACCTTGCTCTTCTGATTGCAGATACTCCCCCACTTCCTGACCATCAGCAAGGGACTTCCCAGACCTGGCTAGGTGGGCCTCAGAGTATTTAGCACACGATCCAGCTACAAATTTTATATTAAAATAGAACTTCTTATTAAGATATCCTACACTGTTGACTCATCAACTTAAGCCCTACTGCATAGTACATTTAAGTCAAGAGATAATGTAGAGTAAGATTTTAAAAGAAATTTAAATACCTAAAGAAAGGGACCAGGCTCGGTGGCTCATGCCTATAATCCTAGCACTCTGAGAGGCAGAGGCAGGAGGATCACTTGAGGCCAGGAGTTCGAGGCCAGCCTGAGCAAGAGCAAGACCCTGTCTCTACAAAAAATAGAAAAATTAGTCAGACATGATGGCACATGCCTGTAGCCTGAGCTACTCAGGAGGCTGAGGCAGGAGGATCACTGGAGCCCAGGACTTCGAGGTTGCAGTGAGCTATCATGAGGCCATGGCACTCTAGCTGGGGCAACAGAATAAGACCCTGTTTCAAAAGAAACAAAAAACAAAAAAACCTAAAGAAAGGAGGAAGATTCTCTCAGCAGACCTACCTGCCTTAATTACTGCTCAACTTCACCTAGGCCTTTAAGTTGGAGCATTTTGGGGCTCCTTAGAGTGTTACTTTCCAGCACCACCAGCTTCTGCTTTCTAGGAGCTCTGGAAGGAAAAGCTTTTGTTTAACCATTAACCAAAGATCAAAGATAAGACATGTTCCTCAAAACGCTAGCTAGCATTTTTACTGACTCAGGGCCTGGCACAGAAAGACCAGCTTGTGATGCCTTCTTAGCTGCAGAGAGAACTTCTTCCATCTTTTTAGCTTGTTCTTATTTGCAGCCCGGAGAGCAGAAAAACAAATACCCACCCTCACCTCACCCACTCCCACACACCCGGACACCCATTAAAGTGCCTCTCTAATCTGCAGAGGTTTCATGGTAATCTTATTCCAATTCAACAGGTAGTTTTTAACATTTTACACCCTAACTCCATAGCCATCTACATTCAAGTTATTTTGCAAAAGGACAGAGAGTTCCCTTCGACTGGCTTGGCAGCATCTGGCTATTTGACTTTGCACATGGGTAGTTTCTTTTCCAGACATTTTCAACACATGTGAACAGAGAATGTTTTAAACATTTACACTGGTTGCCTTGCAGAAGTACTCATAACTGTCCTAGTGATGCAATTAGGAAAAATTGCGATATAATCTATATGCACGTGAATCTCTACTCCCACATGTAGGGTTTTCCATTTGCATCCCTTTGTATAAAAGTGATTATGCTATTGGTTTTAAATTGATGTCAAAAAATTTCTTGCCAACATCAAAAAATATTTGTAAACAATTCTATCCATATGGACCTTTGAATTGGTGCTAAGGTGGGGAAGGACATGGGAAGGGCCCTGATGAGAGGAGAAGGCACTTGCCCTGCCCCACTCTGTCCTTGGCAAATCAAGAAGGCAGGCTTCCCAAGGCCTATTGTCGGAAGATCACATGGTTTTAAAAATACAAGATTACTTTAATTTTACTGGCAATCAGTAGGCCTTCAAGGAGCCCTCAAACCAGCTGGTAATAATTTGGAAAAAGGGATGATCCAAAAGGGTTTAAATTCACAGGTAACCAGAAACAGTGCGATTGTTTTTATCTCCTTTCCCACTCAATTTATTAGCAGGGCTGCTAAATGGGCTTTTTTTCTTTTTTTTTTGACCTTCTTTCCTTGACCCTGTTAGCCTATGGGTGGAGTAGCTAATGAACAATAGAAGATCCAAAAGGAAAAGGAAGGAGAAGTTTTGTTAAGGGCTGGGATAATCACAGACTGATAATCAGCTTGTGACTAATCAACCCTTGGCTTTGGCACTTTCATTGCAGAATATAGCCACTGCTCCTCATCCCACCCCACCCCCATCCCTCCCATTCTTGGGAGGAGCCTGATTTTCCCCAGCCTTCCAGAAATTGAGGAATTTATGTGTGTTTTAGATAAGCTGTACCTAGAAGACTTTAAGGACTAATAGCTAAGCACCAGGAGTCCCTCTATATTTGATTCATCTGTCAACCCAAAGAACATCTGTCATTTTGCTCTACCTGTTCTTAATATGGCTTTATAATCCAGAAATAAAATATAGAGCCATTTTGTTTTACATAGGGAAAACATACGATTTATCATCTAAACCAGGATATAGATGCTCCTAGACTTATGGTGGGGTTGTATCTGGATAAATCCATGATAAGTTGAAAATATTAATATCATTAAATCAAAAATGCATATAATACACCTAAACTGCTCAATATCATAGCTTAGCCTAGCTTACCTTAAACATGCTCAGAACACTTACATTAGCCTACAGTTGGGCAAAATCATCTAACACAAAGCCTATCTTATAATAAAGTGTTGAATATCTCATGAAATTTGTTGAATACTGTACTGAAAGTGAAAAAAATGGTTATATGGGTACTTGAAGTGTGGTTTCTGCTGACTGTGTATCTCTTTCACACTATTGTAAACTTGAAAAATCATTAAGACAAACCATCATAAGTCAAGGACCATCTGTACTTTGAGAGTGAAAGATAATAATTATGTTGAGACTGACCCTCATCAACCAGGAGATATGATTACTCTAGTTAGAGACCTTCACCCCACCTTAGAACTGCACATCTCCTTAGACTTGGGTTTCCAGGGAGCACTAGCAATGTAAACCAAGTAGCAAAGGGGAAACATACCCAGATGAAAAGTCAGATCAGTGGTTCTCTGCCCAGCTGCACAGGGAAACCACTTTGGAATCTTGGTAAAAATGCCCATGGCTGGGCCCTGTCCTAGAGATTCTGCTTTAGTTGTTCTGGGGTGGAACTTGTATTTTTTTTTAAAAAGCCTTTTCGGTTGTTGTTATTTGGTTGGTTGTTTTTCAACTTTTATTTCCTCCTTATTGACTTGCGGTTTTTGTTAAAATGCTGATTCTGACACAGGTGTGAGGAAGGCCAAAGCGTCTGCATTTCTAACAAGCTCCCAGGCAGTGCTGTGCTGCTAGTCCCTGGGCCACACTTTGAATAGCAAAGCTAGATGCACTGCGAAGCCCTAATAGCAGGACCTTGAATTCTTTAAACCTGTAGAATGAATGACACCTGGGTTTAGTGCCCTTCTGCCCTTACACACATTGGTCCGTCTTCTAGACTTCTATTTCCATTGCCTATTGGACTCCACTGGAATGTCTT